GTCCTGGTCTGACAATTATTATTATTTTATGCATTCACACCTATGTTTCAATTCCCTCACCGGATATAACTTCTTAAAAACCATATATATACGATTGTACAGCTTGACGATAAATTCGTTGAAAAGAGTCTCTTCGGTGAATCATTTGTTTTGATTTTCTATATGTTACAATGGGAATTTTCCATGACAGTAACTAAAACGAATTACTGGATAAAAGAAACTACCACGAAACAGGAAGTAATTTGAATAAATCCCCAATGGCTTCTGTGTTATCGAGATTTATCTTTTGAACGAATGTCTCAAGATTCAATTCAGAATTCACCTATTCATTGATACTAAGGACTTTTAAATTAATACTGCTATGTGGCGAATTGTGCAGCATCATCAACCTATCTTTGCTGAGCATAGGCAAGTTCTCTTAACAACAGTCAGTCTTTTTATATAAATTGGCATGACATGTTACAGCCTGCTAACATCTGGAGGTTTGTTACATTCATGTGAGCGTGGTTGAATGTGTCTCCGAAATAACTTCAGCGACTGAATAACATCAAAAAGTTCTCCGGATTTACCTTTTTTCTACTCACTCTATGTCACTAAATACGTTGGATGCTTTCCATGCTCGTAGTCTGCTTTGAATATGCCATCAGTTCTGTGTTTATCATGGCTTGCGAAGTCAATTCTTGTTGGTAAAACCATAACTCTTACGTGGGTTTTAAGGAAATCCTAATTTAATGAAGGCTGCAACAACGTGTTAAGTACGTGGTTGCTCAAGTCCATTTGTTCATTCGTCTATGATTGCGAAGGTGCTCAACTTTCCACATAATCAAGAGGCCCCAGGAAACCTTGAATCATTTCGAGGTCATTGCCGATGGGCTTCAACTAGAAATAATTCTCACGATCGTTGTGTGGCCATCTATCTTGTTAGACCTGCCAATTAATTAGCCTGACCAAGTTATCCATAATACCACCCCAATTGGCGAAAGGAGAACACAACTCTTAGGGCTGCTCAAATGCATATTTGTTGTTAATGATAGGAACAGCTTATACAGATATACAATTACACCACAACGCCACCTACTAGTTGACCCTTGGAAATTATTTTGACCACAATATGTTTCAGTCCATCCGGATAAAAATTGGTCGTTGAAGGTGATGCGGCTGATACAGAGTGGCTTTCGTGAACTTGTTTGACCACTCACAATGCAATCACTTTTAAATACCAAACACTAAACAGCTCCTCACCATCCGTTGGGAAATCACTTTGACGCTGTACACTGGAAGTAATGTAGGGCTATAATTACGACATGCTGTCATCTCAAGTAGCTAATAGTTTATTTAATTTTATTGCAAATAAGTAATTCAAAGCCCCCTAAGGTGTTCAGATCACTTGACCGAAATAGAGATGCCGTATTCCTTGTCGGACTTCCAGCCCAAAATTCTTGAGTTATTGTGCTAACTGCTGAATGTTTACATCTAGAAACCCCCACCTTTATTATCAATCTCAACATTTCTGCTACGAGTGTACACCACCATTAGCATTGCTATGGCGAAAAATTACAAATAATGATGTTTACATCGTTCAAACTAAAAAGGCACATATACCGGTGATATTGTTACTCGCATCATCACTCCTGATTATCTAATGCAGTAAACTTTCGTAACCGATTCAACTATTGCATGAGAGGTTTGGGGTTATGCACAAGTTGCACCAAAACCACGTCTTACGACATCATGTCAACTAATTAATGGTATTGTGATCTAGTCATCGCGGTGCATAATTCTTCGGCCTAGCATTCAAGCAGATCTCTTGCAAACTTGTCATTCTGTCGCACCTCTGGTTGGCAGCTAAATAAACTAGTGAGTACATTTAAAAGGTCGCTTGATTAATCTGATGATAAATCGTGTTGTTCTGCAAAAAAGCGACTGCATTAATTAAGCATAAATCTTCACTTAACCTTATGCTTACGGCGAAAATGGTAGCATGAACATATTCCCAGCCACCGTCGACAAGTGTTTGAAGGGGCAAGGCCGATGTTTTCCGACTTCTAAGAACACGGTGGCGAAAATTCATATCTCAAACTTAAATATTTCCACTTCAGAAGTACGGATATGCACATGATAAATGCACCCCCATGTCAGTGAAATGAATACGTAGCCCGAGTGGACGGGCTTATTTAATTCAGTTCTCTATGAACTGTTTATTCGTTCAAATTTTGGACGGTTACTGAAAAGACGAGCTCTGACACAATTTCGCACCCTGTTTTGCACCGACTAACACGCAGATACTCCAGTTTCCTAACTCCAACCATATTAGCCAAAGCAATTCTGAAACCTTCTTCCAAAGACTAACTTTGATACCTGTTCAATTTGAATTTACCAACCTCTGAAGTGTTTTCCCAAGTACTTATGTCCTTTTGATTTTGATTTTATCAACAGTGCTAACAGGTTAGATGAGCAACCGATTAATGGGTTATTAGGGCACACAGAATTTAGTAATGCCAGCTAAACTGGCAGATATAACAGTGATGTTTCCAGCTCGTATATTACACAACACTGTTAAAACTAATGTTTAGAAAGAAGCCCTTAAAGAACATATTGGAAACTTCCAGAGTTTCTGAATGCTTTTGGATACATGTCGATGACAGTGCATAGTGCTGTGCAAAATACTGATAGATATTTGGTATTTTTCAGTCTTTTTGGGTGACAGAAATTCGGAAAATAAAGAATTGTGGATCTAACAGGGTTATTTCGATGACTCTGCAGCTACTAAAAAACACTAGTGTTTTCAACTCCAACTGTAGACCTAACTTTCGGAGTTAACCTAGATCAAAGGCCGTATACTGAATCTCCATTACGAATGTAATTGCGTCCCTGGTGAATGACGTCATTCACTCTGAGAGTCGAACTTGACACTACAGGTCTCGAGAGTGAAAGAGTTTTTCTAAAGACTGCTAAGCCTATATAGCTTCATTTTCAATGTTCTCACCGCTTAGGTGGAATTTTAACCACAATCATTGGTTGCGTTATTTCAACATACACACCAGGTCATTGTCTTTAAAGATAAGCCGTTTTACACAAGATATGTCATTTCCATAAAGTTTTCCACTTCTTCTTGAGGTTAAAATCCCCTAACAACTGATGTTATAAATCCACACGCCATTAATACTATGACAAGATTGTATAACACTGAAACTCAGGGTAGTGAAATGCTAAAACATCCAGCTATTGTTGTAGTATCTTATTATTATATTCAGATAGCTTCTTGAGGATTTCGATCATTTTTATTGCAGGTTTCATCACGAACCGACATAATTTAGAGAACAACTAAAAACGAGGAGCACTGGATAGTCGTTCCGTCCCTATCTGGGACCCTTCAACAATATGAACCCATGACTGATACCACGCATACCAATGACCAGTCCATTATTTCACGTTCGAAATTCCTACATCCGACTCACAGAGAAAACTCAATCGTTTGACATCTCTCCGGAACATCTCTTCTCATTCGGCACACATGCTACATGCGATACACATGCAGAGTTCGACGAACTCATGCGAGTCACAGAATTGAGACACCGATCCCTGTTCACCAGTGTAGACTGCAAAGACACTATCTTCACAAGAACATATAATATAACGCGAATCATGTTCTGCAAAAGATGAGATACAGCCTATCTGGAGACTGCGATAATATTCGTGTAGTCTTCTGTTCTGCAAAGACACAATTCACATACCTATTAAAGCACAGGCAGGTTTGTAGGCGACTAAACAAACAGCTTGATAGATGTAGGAAATATCAGAGTAAAAAAATAGATCAATGAAAAAATATTGTGACGGCATATTATGGATTTACAGATAAATTTTTTATTTTGATCACAGCTTGATGCCACTCCGTATTTTCAGTACAAGTATGGAATTTTCAGCATGGATATCGGTAGCCCAAATTTTGCAGGCCGACCATAGATATCGGGTGTGCGTCGGCAGGGGACCGAACCCTGGACCATGTGCATGGTCGGCGAGAGTCCTAACCACTGTGCAATCGACGCACAATGGTTGCTTGCAAATACAGTTATTGTTCACTTCTAAAAATTAAGAATATATTTCGCACATGCGGTTCACTTCTGCGTTGTGTCCACTGGGAGAAGTTGCTTACCGACTGTTTAAGAGTCGTTGGATGATGATGAGATGTTCTTGTAAGTCCTAATGAATACCGCGTGAGGATTGGCGGAGCAAGAAGACAGTATAAACCAGTGAGAAGATGAAGATAGGTACCACACTACTAAATCTTCATTTGAGCTCGACGGTCTAATGTATCTGACGAAGAAGTCGAAGAGAAAAAGTGATGTACAATGTGTCCATTTTTAACATTTGGCAAAAGTGAACAAATTTATTGTTCAGGACTCGACAGGTTCGCATAACCCTGTTCGTTGTGATTCAACATAGCTAATAGATGCCATGTTTCGGAAGTATCTGACGTAAGACACTGGGGGACTAAAATAAGAGCATCATGATTGCCAACTTAGTTTTAATGTGTCGTGCATTCGAAGGTACTACGCTAAAACAGCTACTGTACTTTTTATTTCCAATTCTTACTGTTGCCCACCAATAAGCAGGACTATCGCTTAGCAATTAGTAACTTAAAGTAACTCAGGAACCTCTACCTCACAATCAAGAGGCGAGCATAAAGAAATCAAATTGGTTTATACTAGCTCGTAAAAACGATATTTGATATTGGAACTGGAGTATTTTAGCCGCCCATAAATACATGAGAACATCAAAGATATGATCAAACTCAAAGACTGGTATAGAAGATCATAGACTGCCGGTTCCTCATAATCTCATGATGTTCATGATATGACGTATTTTACAACTTATACTCCAATCCAACTTACGTTTAAATTGTTAGTCAAGTAATGTACACATCAAGAAGTAAAAAATACATATTCATTGAACCTTAGGTTGCTTTTAGTTAGTAAGTTCACAAGCCGGGTCATGTGAGAATGGACGATACGGATGGGATAGATTTCCTTAATTACGTATCATCCGGACAATGTGAGAGACCTCGCGAACCTGTGTTTGTGAAAGGTTGTGGAGACATAACAATGTACGTTAATTTTGTATATATGCTGTTTTTAATACACCATTAGAATTATTTTATGCTTGGGTTAAGTGCAATTGTTCTCTGAGTTAAAATAACTTCTGTATATTTTTTCTCGTTTTTATCTAAAATGTGAGGTATGTGCAGAGATTGGAAAGTTACATAAGTTGTGGTTTACTCGAGTATCTTCTGGCGGATCATAGGCAGGGAATTTAGAAGTTATATGTTAACATTTTGTTTACACTGCTGGTACGGTTGTTTTCAGGGACATTTTCAGCTAAATTAAAGGCAGGTTTTATCTTGCATTGGAACTTATTATATGCGTTTTTACTGCCCACTTGTGATATTTCCAGGTTATTCCTTTCAGAATACTTGTGTATTAACCTTACAGAGTAAACGTTTTCATTAACATGTCCTACAGGAATTTCTACCATTTGAACCGATGTCGAGTTCAATTTCTTTTTGTGATTAGCTGGAATAAAGTCATTACGATGTAGGAAGTATCTTATTTTCTACCTACAGATATCTGAAATACGCTATTTACTCATTGAGATACAAAAACTTCCTGAAAAGTATCATTTCCGATTTCATTAAAATTGTATGGCTGCATGGCATAGAAATTTCTGCGGCATACTTAATTTAATATATAAGGAAGATACACATATGCAGTAAGTTCATTTCATCTTTGGATTTTAAAATCGTCTACGGAAGTACATTCAAAACTTTCTTGAATCATATCTACCAACAGAAATCCTGAAAGGTTTCCTGTTGCTACGCCACTTGTTTAATAAGGTATTGTATAAGAATTGAACCTTCATAGTGTACACATTGACTTTTGGTATAAGAAAGTCATCTACTGAGTTGCAAGCAAAGTACATTGTTACTATAACCACGACACATGTATAATTAAATAGCATCGAGTGTAACCAAATGCTTATCCAATATCCTGATTACGATCTAGTATAAACCAGTGATTTCTTTGAGCTCGCTTCTTGATTGTAAGGTAGAGGTTCCAGATCTTCGGTGAACTTTTGCGTAGTAAGTCCTGCCATTCGACTGCTTTAGCTCTGGTAGACTCCAAGAGGAGTGGTGCGAGGATTGGTCAAGATGTGGTTTGTAGTGTGCAGTATGTTAGGACTGAGTTGCTGCCGTGAATGGAGTTTGACCTAACACCCGTTAGTCATTTGCTGTAGTCATAAAAGTAGAATAGTAATAATAATTATTATAATAGGTTGTAGTGTAGATAATATAGGTTCAGACAAGTGAATTAATAAAGGTGACATAAGGAAAAGATATAGTCGGCACAGTGAGAGAAGACAGAATGGATTATGGGGATTGAGTTTGTATGCTTATCCATTGGCTGTGGTTTTAAATTTTAAGAGGATAAGCCATTGAGACACAAACCTTGCATTTCTGCATGATTGTCCAGCTTCCGCTTAAAAGTCTCCACAGATGGCGCTGTAGTCACGGCCGCCGGTAAAGCGTTCCAGAGACGGCAAACTCGAAGCGAAAAGAAATGTGAACGCACTCGAGTCTTTGGTCTCTTGTGTGCTATCCTCAGCGGGTTACCTCGTGGAAGCCTATAATCACTTAATGGCAGGATGCTCTTATTAGGGTGGGCCTGGTCATTTAAGATCTTGTAGACGGTGATGAGGTCTCCCCTGTGACTACGGTAACTAGGTGTGAAAAGACTTAATTTCTTCAGTCTTTCCTCATATGATTTGTTGCGGAGGCCGATCACCTATTTTGTCGCTCGTCTCTGGACACTTTCTAGAATGTTAGCATCCCTTTTGAGTAGCGGAGGAGCAATGATATTATGCACCACAAGGTGTGGCCTCACGTATGTCGTATACAACCTCAAGAATAGTTCGGAAGTAAGAGCTCCCAGCTGCCTATGCATAAAGTGTAAAGTTGCGTAAGCTTTGGCTACGTCCCTCGTGTAATTTACACTGGTGTCTAGCTTTTCTGTTAGAATAAGACCTAGATCGCGCTCTGATGGCACACAACTCAAGTTCTGGCCACCAAGGGTGTAATTTACACTCCGTGACCTGCCGGAATGAAGTTGCACTACTTTGCACTTCTTTTAGGTTGAAAGGCATTCCGTTAGCCAAAGCCCAGTCTCCCAGAGTTTGCAGGTCAGCCTGCAATCTGTCGGAGTCTTCCGATGAGTTTATTGCTATCCAAATCTTTACGTCGTCAGCGTAAAAAAGGGCAGAGCGGTTCAGTTGACAGGGCAGGTCGTTGATAAAAATCAAAAACATCAACGGCCCTAAGATAGAACCCTGAGGAACCCCTGATGCTGAGGTATGCCAGGATGATCAGATGCGGTTGACTTTGGTGCAGAATTCTCTCTCGCCTAAGTAATCTTTCAGCCATGCAAAAAGTGCCCCAGAAACACCCTCCTTGCTTATTTTGTGAAGCAGCAGACCATGGTGAACAGTGTCGAATGCTTTCGCAAAGTCGAGAAAGATCACATGGACTGGTACCTTTACGTCCCAGGATAGTGTCCAGTCTTTCCAAGCTAGTAGAAGATTCATCACACAGGATCTTCCCCTCCTGAAACCGTGCTGTGCTTCATGGAGTAGGTTAGTCCCGTTGAAGTATTTTCTCATGTGGTCGTCAATGAGACTTTCCAATACCTTCGATATCACTGGGAGTAGCGCAACTGGTCTGTAATTGGTCGCGTTCTGCCGGTCATCACCCTTGAAGATAGGGGATAGGATGGCTCGTTTCCATTCACATGGAAGTTTCCCTACATCAAGGGAGTGTTGAAACAGATCACTTAGGGGTTGGCAGAGACTTTCTGAACACTGCTTCAGGACGGATGGTCTTATGTCATCAAAACCTGAAGACTTTCCCAATTTTACGAGTACCATAGCCGGGGTAATTTGAAATGAACCCAGCAGGTTTTCGCGCTTTGGTTTTGCATTGTAATCTTGATGTTTTGTGGGGGTAATATCCTCGTTACTGTTTAGTTGCCTGTGAAAGGCTAGACTGAATGTCTCTGCAATTTCAAGACTAGTAAGAGATTTCCCATCAGAACCCACTAGATTGCATGCTCCCTGGTTGGTCGGTTTTCTTTCAAACATAAATCTGTATAGGCTTTTGGGGTTCACAAGAAGCTTATTGGTGAGGTTTCTCTGAAATGTCCTTCTATCACTCCGGACTCGTATGCTACATCGATTCCTGAGTTCAAAGTACACTTCATGTTCCGGCTTACTCTTCGATAGTCGTCACGCAAACCAGGCTTTTCGCTTCCCTCTCTTTAGCAACGAACGTTGCTTCCTAGCTTTTGGTGTGACTAAAGGAACAGTGTCTGAGACCGCCTGGTGAATGATCTCCTTTACCACTCCCCAGTGTTCTTCTACTGTTAGCTCTGTCCATTTTTTAAGGCCAATTTGCTTCAGACAAAAGTCTTCGCATTTCGGTGTAATTGGCTTTGTTATAACACAGATAGGGCTGTGTATTGTCCCTCTGTAAGCGATCGCGGAGGACTATGTCGAATACTATGACCGCGTGGTCACTACTACCTAGTGACTACTAGTTCCACTAGTAGCTGGTCACTAATGAGCACATAATCCAGTCTAGAAGACTTCCCATCTGGGCCCCATCTAGTATCCATTCTGACATTTTCAGTGAATCCAGCCTTCCTGATGGTATGCAGCAGATTTCGATCAAATCTATCATGGGCGTATCCCGAAATCAAGTTAAGAGATGGGGCAGTGAAGTCGCCAGCTATGACAATTTGATCATAACCCATGTCTTGTGTCGCTGAAATTGTATTTAGCAGTACCTGGTTGTGGTCTGCTCCACATGAAGGTGATCGATAAATGCTGCCCACTAGATATTTGCAGTACCCAACGGTGAAATGGCACCATATGGAGTCTTCTTTCTTCCCTTCCTGATGATAGTTAACGAATACTGTTTGAACTTGTTAAACATGACTGTTTCCCTCCCAGATGAAATTCCTGATCCTTTTTCTACTTATATTTTTACTTTTAATCTATGTTGTTTTATTATTATTGTGTGGCGCATCTTTCTTGGTCCCATATTGTACCAAGTTTTTTTCTGCGTTTAAATAAATAAACCATATGGAGTCAGGGAGCTCAGTGAGGGGAGGGTGAACACATCTGAGCTGTTTGTCAACGTATATGGCGACTCCACCTCCTTCTTTCAGGTCCCTATCTCGCCTGACTAGGACCATATCATTTATACTGACTTCGCTGTCTGTCACCGTAGGGGTTAGCCAGGTTTCCGTCAGTATTATGATTTTGGGATTCAGCTGTGATTGTAGGTGTCTAAGTTCAGCTACTTTGCCTCTTAGCCCTCTCACATTACTGTACAGGCAACTGGTAGTCAGTCTCACCACGTCCCCGTATTGGGGAGTGGTTGACGTGATGTGGACTGTCGGTTAAGGAGTTAACCTACGAACTAGTTGGTCGGTTCCCCGGGAAACGGCCTATTGGCGTTTTTTTCTTCTAGTTCATTCGGAGCACTTGGATGACACTGGCTATCATCGTCCGTGCTGCACCGCTGTAGTGTGACTAAGCATTGGGGATTTTCTATGACAACGCTTTGTTCTCTCCTATGGATACCAGGCCGGCTCTCACAGCAGCGAATGTCTGCTGACCTTGTCCTTGGTCTCGTACCATCTCTGGAGAGCAGTAGTCAGCTGGTCTCGGGAGCTGAACTTGACAGCTAACAGACGTGGCGTGTTAATTGACACAAGGTGAGTGGGTCGAGGCAGTCTATAAATAGAGACAGCCCCTGAACTTCCCAGAGCCACCTGGGATGCCAACCATCTCCATTGCTGTAAATCGTAACAGTGCTTCTCGCAAGCGTTCCCAGTTGCCAGTTCGGGAATGCCGTGAACAACCATGGAGGCAGAAGGAATAAGCTCCCTCGCCATCTGTCTTTCCTTCCATGGCCTGTCTGGCCTAACACGTATATTGCAGGTCCTCCCTATAGAAAGGACTTGAGAAGTCAGTAAAACTTTTTCGACATCC